GGTCCTGGGATTTTCTTTGTTGGGAGACTTTTTACAACTGACTCAATCTTGTTACTTATAAGTGGTCTATTCAGGTTTTGTATTTCTTCTTGGTTCAGTCTTGGTAGTTCATATATTCCAGGAATTTAACCATTTCCTCTAGATTTTCAAACTTATTGGCATATGGTTGTTCATAATATTCTGTAATGGTCTTTTGTATTTCAGTGGTATCAGTTGCAGTGTCTCCTTTTGCATTTCTGATTTTATTTATTTAGGTCTTTTCTCTTTTTTTCTTTGTGTGACTAATGGTTGTTGATTTTATTTATCTTTTCAAAAACTCAACTTTTCAAAGAAAAAGAGATACAATGATCACAATAATACACTGAACTTTCAAAAGGAGAGAACAGAACTGAGGTTGCCAGAGGTGGGAAAGGGGGAGGGGAAGGTGGTTAGTGAGAAATTGGTAAAGGACCAAAAAAAAAAAATGATTACATTGTGTAATGTTGAATATACTAATTATCTTGATTTGAGCATCATGTATTGCACACAGGTATTGATATTCAACTCTGTAACCCACAGATATGTACAATCAATTATGTTTCAAATAAAAAAATACCCCCCCAACCTTTCATTTGGTTGATCTTTTGTATTGTATTTTTAGTTTCAATTTTATTTATTTATGCTCTGATTTTTATTTCTTTTCTTCTACTTATTTTGAGTTTGTTTTTTTCTTGCTTTACTAGTTCCTTGAGGTGCATTGTTAGGTAGTTTATTTGAAATCTTTCTTTTTTTTTTTTTTCAATGTGGGTGTTTATTGCTATAAACTTTCTTCTTGATACTGCCCTGCCTGTGTCCCATAGGTTTTGGTGTGTTATGTTTCTGTCTTCATTTGTTTCAAGAAATTTTTTGATTTCTTTCTAAATCTCTTCTTTGACCCACTAGTTGTTCAGGAGCATGTTGTTCAATTTCCATGTATTTGTGTACTTTTGAAAGTTCCATCTGTTATTGAGTTCTAGTTTTATTCCATTATAGTCAGACAAAATACTTGATTGGATTTCAATTTTTGTTTTTGAAATTGTTGAGACTAGTTCCATGTCCTAGCATGTGATCAGTCCATGTGCTGATGAAAAGAATGTGCGTTCTGCAGCTGTTCTGTAAGTATCTGTTAGGTTCATTTGGTCTATGGAGCTGTTTAAATCTGGTATTTCTTTGTTAACTTGCTGTTTCAATGATGTTGAATGATGTTGAATGATGTTGTTGTTGACTTTCTGTCCAATTCTGAGAGTGGGATGCTAAACTCCCCAGCTATTATTGTGTAGGCATATAGCTCTCACTTTAGATCTGATAATATATGCTTTTTATTTCTGGGTGCTCCAGTGTTGGGTGCATTTATAATTGTTACATCTCTTGTTGTATTGATCCCTTTATCATTATATAACACCCTTCCTTGTCTCTCAGTACAGATTTTGATTTAAAGTCTTCTTTATCTGATGTAAGTCTATCTACTACTGATTGCTTTTGCTTTTCTTTTGTGTGGAATATCTTTTTCCATTCCTTCACTTTCAGTCTATGTGTGTCTTTGTAGGTAAGGTGTGTTTCTTGTAGGCAGCATATGGATGGCTTATTATTATTACTTTTTATCTATTCAGCCAGTCTGTATCTTTTAATTGGGGCCTTTAATCCATTTACATTCAAGGTTATTATTGACATTTGAGGTCTTACTCCTATCATTTTGTTGGTAGTTTTTTGAGTGTTTTGTGTATCTTTTTTTCCTTTCTACCTCTTTTATTGTTTATTCTTGTGGTTTGATGGTTTTTTGTATTGATAAGATTTGATTCCTTTCTCTTTCTAATTTGAATATCTATTCTACCAGTAAGTTTTATATTTTAAGGTGTTTTCATGATGGTTGTTATTGTTCTTTCTCTTCTAGATGTAGGACTCTCCTAAACATTTATTGTAAGGCCAGACTGGTGTTGATGAATTCCCTTAATTTTTGCTTGTCTGAGAAAAACTTTATTTCGCCTTCATTTCTGAAGGATAGCTTTGCTGGGTGTAATATTCTTGGCTGGTAGTTTTTTCTTTTAGTTCTTCAAATATATCATGCTGTTCTCTCCTGGGCCTGTTGGGTTTCTGCTGAGTAATCTGCTGTTAGTCTAATGGGGATTCCCTCATAAGTGACTTAACGCTTGTCTCTTGCTGTTTTTAGAATTCTCTGTTTGTCTTTAACTTTTGACAGTTTGACTACAATGTGTCTTGGAGAGGACCTCTTTGTGTTGAATCTAATTGGGGATCTCTGAGTTTCCTGGATTTGGATGTCTATATCTTTCCTGAGACTATGGAAGTTTTCAGCTATTATTTTGTTGAATATATTTTCAATACCTTTTTTGTTTTCTTTTCCTTCTGGAATGCCTATAATTTGAATATTTGTTCACTTAATTGTATCCCATAAATCTTGTAGGCTTTCTTCATTCTTTTTTATTCTTTTTTTTTTCTTCTTGTCTTCCTGGGTTATTTCAAAACAGCTGTTTTCAAAATCAGAAATTCTTTCTTCTGCATGATCTCGTCTGTTGTTGAGACTCTTGGATGTATTTTTTATTGCATTTAATGAATTCTTCTCTTGTATCTCAGTGAGTTTTTCTTAAAATTATTAATTTGAATTCCTTTTCCAGAAAGTTGGCAATTTCTGATTCTTTGGTATCAAGTACTAGAGCATTATTGTTTTTTTTGGTGGTGTCATGTTTCCTTGTTTTTTCATGTTTCCTGTTTCCCTGCATTGATATCTGTGCAACTGGTAGAACAGTCACCCCTAGGAGTTTTGTAGGGTGGCTTGCATGGGGTAGGACTTTCACATGCAAATGTGTCCTTGGGTGTGGGTAGAGTGCAATGGCTTTATTCTAGGTGGGTGCAGTAGTGTAGTATCTGTGTAGTTTCTTCAGCTATAATCCATTTTTACTGTGTCTGTGCAGGCCTCAGTGGCCTGTGCTTGGGAGGTTTGTGGCAGCAGTGGCACAGCTTTGCTGGGGGTGGGCTTGCTGTGTTAGTTTGCAGGCTGGGGGTGTATATATGCTCACTGTGGGTCAGTCATCTCGGGAGCTGACTCACTGGGGATGGGTTTGCTGGATTGCTTTTCTAGCCAGTGGTGTAGGTGTGTGTCATGTCAGGGATTCTGCAACTGGTTGGCCAGTGATAGGGTCACCATGCTGGTTCTGCGACAGGGGGTGGGCACCCAAGGGCATGTCAGCAAGGCTCTTTCTCACTTGTATGCATATGCATGGGATGACTCAAAGACTAAGGGGCATGCTCACCAGGGGCATGACATCTAGGCTGTTTCTCTGAGTTGAGGGCATGGGCACACTTTGGCTTGGTTAGCTGGGTGCACGTCTGCTGGGAGCTGATCCACTACTCCACTTCTTGGGGCCAGGTGTGAGGTTGTGCTTCCCTCAGCAGTTCAGGAGTGGGTCTGCCAAGGGCAGTGGGTGAGTCCATGAGGCAGTCCTGCCATGAAGACTTCTAGCCAGCCACATCTTGGGTAGTGGGTGAGACCATTAGGCAGGGCTGCAGACAAGGTTTCCTACCAGCTGCTTCTTGATCAGTGTGTGAGGCTGCTAGGCAGGACTGTTGAGGGTAAAACCACCTGGATGATTCTCTGGGAGGGTGTGGATGGGCTTTATTTCTGCTGACCTCGGGGTGTGTTCATTAGGAGAGGGACCTGTGAGCTGTTTTTCTGGGTTGGGAACTTGGGTGCACAGAACTCAGCTCACTGGATGGGGGTCTGTCTGTCTGGTCTCTGGCCAGGGACTTGGGGGTGCATGAGTTCAGCAGGCCTGGGATTGGCTTCCTAGACCTGCAGGACAGGGTCACAGCTGCTTCTGGGCCCAGGCTTTAAGCTGCTGGGATCAGGGCATTATAGCTTCTCATGTGAGTGCTTTGCGATGATGGTGGAGCCTTGGGGTTGGGGAAGCACAGTGGCTATTGGCCCCAGGTCAGCGTGTGCTTTGTCAGTGGCTCTGGTTTCACCATGGTACTGTGCTGTGTTAGCTTGGGTCATTAGGGTGGGGGGTGGGGAGGGCACTTGTATGGGCTCCTGTTCTAGAGTGATGCAGTTCATATATTCTGGGCAGCTCACCACACTTGGTTCTGGACTTGCGAGGGCTGTGGAATCCTCCTGCGCTAGGAAGGATTGGGGGATGGTGTGGACCCTCGTCCTACCTTCTCTCCACGAGGGAAAGTCATTCTTGCACTGATACCAGTGGTGGAAACTTGGTGGCTGAAGCCGTGTGCCCCTTTGTCCTCTCTATGCTGCCATCCTGGGCTTTCATGCTCCACAGGGATCCCTCCAGTCTCCTGCTGCACTCCTGCACTCTCCCACAGATGCTCCTGTTGATACTTGGCTGTTTGTTAGTTGTTCTGGTCCTGTCCTGTGAGGGAGACGTACTTCTAGTTGGCCATTTTAGCCCTGCCTCCCCTGTTTCCAGCTCCTGTTGATACTTGGCTGTTTGTTAGTTGTTCTGGTCCTGTCCTGTGAGGGAGACGTACCTCTAGTTGGCCATTTTAGCCCTGCCTCCCCTGTTTCCATTTTGGAGACGTCTAAGAACTGCTGTACGGTTTTTTTTTTTTGCAATGATAAATAATTTTTCATTATTCTTTGTCCATAATTCTGTTTCCTTTGAAGAAATACTTTGCACGGAACAGCTGAGTCTAAGGATATGCACATTTCAAGGGTGATTCCTGAAGTGTCTACACAAAGGTGTCCCAGGTTACACTGCCCCCAGCAGGGCATGAGAAGACAGGAGTCAGGGTCTTCAGTTGACGGGGAGGACCAGTGTAGACAGGTGTCTATGTCTGCCAAGCCCCAGTATGGGTTCCCTGTCCTGGGCTGGCCTGTGACCGAGTCTGTGCCCTGGCTCAGTTCCAGTCCCCATGCTGGGCTCCTGGGAGGCTCAAGCCCCAGGGGACACCTCCTCAGTAGGGCTTAGATCAGTCACTGTGGCTGTCTAGATTTTTGGATTCTTCTCCCTTAGGTCCGGCATGAAAACAGATGTGTGGCCCTGGAAAGGTGCCCCTGCTTCCATCAGGGCCGAGAATACGCCCCAGGAGAGACGGTGAAGATGAACTGCAACACCTGGTGAGGCTCTGGGAGGGGCTTCCCGGGGCCCGAGCCACTGGGGCAGGGGGAGGGGCAGACGGCCGCAGGACCTTGGGCACTAGTCCCCGGCACCCTGGGGGAACCTGGCTACTCTCTTCCTTTTCTCTGTGCCTCTGTTTCTCCATCTGTAGAGTGGGGAGGATCTTTATCCTTGCCTGTGCTCATCCCTTGTAGACACTACCCGAGAGATTAGTATTTCCCTTCGGAGAGATGGGCTCTGGGGAAGATACGGGCCGTTCTGCTTATTGTGACCAGGCTGCTAAAGGGCGTGGGGTGTGAAGGGTCCTTCTCAGGCCTGGCGCTGCCCTGTGGTGTGCTGCCCCTCGCCTGCTGGCTCACCTTGCCTTTGGCTTCTTGGCTGTGCGCAGCCTTACAAGGGGCCTCTGCGAGGGCCCTGGACAGAGGCAGGCAGGGCTGTCTCTTGGGCCTGAGGTCGGAGCTCGCCACCTCTGATGCACAAGTGGGCTTCCTGAGGTCAGCTCTGGTTATGGGTGGCGGTGGGATGGGCATGTGGCAGTCAGAAGATCGCCATAGATTTGAACATGCGCCCAAACTCTCTCCTGGCAGAAGTTCCTGGTGTATTATTACTTTCCAGACATAGAACTTTCCTGCTGTTCTGTCCTGTTTTTCCCATTGGCCTCAAAGGAATTTCACCGTCAATGTGTCTCTTTCATAGAGTCCCTGTGGCCACTCTCAGGTAGACTTGTGGCTTCCAGGGTGAGGCTGAGCTTTGGCAAACCCACAGCAGGTGGCCTAAGAGGATCCGGGTCTCTTCCCCTGGCTTCCTGGATCACCTTGGACAACCCCTTCCCTTCTTTGTCTCAGATCTCCCCGTAACTGTAGAGCAGCATGGCACTCTCCCTCCTGTGGGGCCAGGTGCCGGGCCTGTGAGGGCCTTGCTCCATAGGCTGCAAATCCTCAACCTCTTGAGGCTTCCTGGAGGGCTGGGTGGCACCCTGAAGCACTCCATGCCTCCTCGTTTCCAATACCCAGATGAGCCCCTACACCCAAGGTGCCCAGCCAGTCACCCTGGCCATTACTGTTCCCAGTGTCTGTCGGGACCGGAAATGGAACTGCACGGACCACGTGTGTGATGCCACATGCTCCACCATTGGCATGGCCCACTACCTCACCTTCGACGGGCTCAAGTACATGTTCCCTGGGGAGTGCCAGTACGTCCTGGCGCAGGTGAGATAAAGGAGCGGGTAGGGAGCCCTCTGTCTCCAGGAGGAGATGAGGGGTACTGATGGCAATTTGGGGGTTTTCGGGTTGGATCCTGCTGTTCTGTCTGTAGAAAGAACCGTGGGTCTAGTTTGTACTGGCAACCATTTTCCTTCTGCTCACTTGGAGACTTCTAAGAACAGGACAGAGCTCATTTGTGGCTTAGAATTGATATGGGAGAAAGCTGCCATCAGTCCAAATGAGCAGCCCTGTGGAGTTAGAAGGAACTTTTCCTCTCTGTAGACACATGCTCAGTCAGGATGCAGTTTGGGGAGTGGAGGTGGGCTGGGTTCCAGCCCCTGCGCACCCTCCCTGCAAGCATCCTTGTGTAGGGAACCCTCTACAGGGCCTTATGTAGCAGCCCTGGTCAGGGGATGGCAGCAGGGACCCCTGGAGTGTTTGCTTCCTGCCCTATGTTCCTATTGGATTCTCCACCATTTCCATTTCTAACCTGGTACAATTCAGAAGGGGAGGGTGTGGAGAGGGGCACAGAGAAGTCACACCACCCAGCAGGATGGGAAAGAGCCCAGGACATGCCAGCGAGTGAGTGAGGGCCCCCGCCTCTGCCTCCCCCTCCCTGCTGCGTGGATTCCTGTCAATTCCTCCTGCTGGTTGGCACCAAACGGGTAAACAGGAGGTCTGAGCGCTCTTCTCAAGAGAGATGAGATGCTCTGTTCTGCGAAGCTTTAAACAAATGTGGTCTGTCTGTCTCCACTCTTGGAAGGAGGAGGAGGTGGGGCTTGGTGTGGCCTGAGGGAGGACCACAAATTCTTAGGGGCCTCAGCCCCAGAGACTGAGCTGTGGGACCCCCAAGTCAGGCCACATGGGTGGCTGAGGACCTCCGTGTGCTGGCAGCTGCCACCTCACACGCCCCGGTCTGGCCCAGAGGCCAGCAGTGTGTTGGGGACATGGGGCAGACACACCACACAATCGTTTTGAGGACACCTGTGAACCTGGGGTGTGTGCCCCCTAGAGCTTTCCCACACTGTCTGCCTTGAGCCTCAGTAGCAAAAGATGGGGTGACAGGAGCTTCGCACCCTACATGCCAAGCCAGCTTTGAATATGGGCATCCCAGAGAAAACAACCAATTCAGTGCAGCCAGCACTGCCGGTCCGCACCTCCTGCTCCCGCTCTCGTCCCCTGCCCGGGCAGACGCCCCCCAGTGGACCGGTGTTGAAGAATCCCCTTTCCAGTCGTGCTCCTCTGCGTGTCGCTGGCTTTCCTTCCCACAGCCAGTTCTGTCCTCCTCCAGTGCTCTGTCCTGGCCGCCCTCCCCACCCTCCCTTCCTCCTCTGGGAGATATCACCAGGACTTAACTCTCTCTCCTCTGGAAAAACCGGGAACAAATAAAGCCCTTGTACCCTTGTTCCCTCTTTTAACCTTCGCAGTCCCATTAACTTAACACAGACCCACTTAACCCAACAGTCCCTTTAAGTCAGCTGATTCCCGTCTTATGGAAGGGCAGTTTGTGTGGATGTATGTATGCACGTGTGTGTGTGTACATGTGTACACATGTGAGTGTGTGCATGCATGTGAGTTTGTGTGTGTGCGCATATGTGCGTGGGTGAGTGTGTCAGAGAAGTAAGTGACTTCCTCATTACCCAAAAAGGGGCAGACCAACACTCACACCTAGTTTTTCTAGGTTGAGTGTTTTATCTTTTTTCTCATCACACCACAGAAGTAGCCACCATGGGGGGAGTATTTGCCAGGAACGTGTCTCTTTTTGCTTAATTTTCTATGCAATTGACCGACAAGGACCAGAGCTCCCTTGTCCTCTGTATACGACTAGGGACGGTAGCTCAGGACTGTGGAGCTGTGTCAGACTGTCTTTGGTTACATTTCTGGGCCAGCAGTCCAGAAAGATTCAGCCAGAATTTAGAGCCATGAGATGCCATGTGGTCACACTGTCCTAGTGTCCTGGGTGGGACGGAAAAGTCATGGGCTCCGAGTGAGGGCTTTCAGCCCGGCGCATCTGTGGAAGCACACTGCACGCTGCTTCTCCTCTTCCTTTCCCTCCCCCACAACCACCCCACCCCTCTTTGTCCATAATGGCTGAGGTTGACACACCTGAGGGAGCTCACCTGGGCGTAATAGATCTCTCCTGGCACCCCTCTTTCCCCAGGACCACTGTGGCAGTAACCCTGGGACCTTTCGGATCCTGGTGGGAAATGAGGGGTGTGGATACCCCTCAGTGAGATGCAAGAAGAGGGTCACCATCCTGGTGGGAGGAGGAGAGATTGAGCTGTTTGATGGGGAGGTAAGTGCCAGCCTCGTCGCCCACCCTCATGTTCTCCCGTGTTCTTCTGCCAGCTCACTGAGAGCATTTGTCAAGCATTCATTCAGAATCTGCGTCCGTGGAAGAATGTGCGGCCTTTCAAGAGGCAGAGCTCTATCATCTGACCCTGACGAGTTATTCTATGAGAAGTAGCAGGCCAAGATAGCTAACACGATCCCGCGTAGTGAAAGTGCAGATACGTGTGTGGAGAGGGCGTGTTAACAGTGTCTGCCCAGCACCTGCCTCTGGAGCTGGGGTGGACATTGCAGGGCAGGAGGGATTTCCCTTATATATAAATTTAAAAAGTGATGGCGTCATGGAAGATTTGTACTTTCTTTTATGTTTTCCAGCTCTTTTCAGATAAATGTTTTTAAAGGAGTTCAAGAGAAGTAAACAGATTCAGGCCTGTACCAAGTGCTTATGAAGTGGTTCTCAGGAGGGAACCTGCACTTGAGTGGCAGGTCATCCCGAGGCTACGGTTTTGGTTCAGCTGGTCTGACTGCCTGTACTGCTGGCGAGACTCAGGGTCTGGGCTCACACCTGTCCTCATATGTTCATTTTCTTCCATGGCCTCAGCCCGCATCCCAGCCTTCTTGCAAATATCCACCATTGACATCAGGGGAGGGGAGGTGAATTCTTCACCACTGTGGGAGAAACTGGCAGGTGTGACTTGTAGACTATGGGTCAGCAGTGTCAGCGCATTTCAGAGGACAGTTCTATTCAGGAAAGACGGCAGTGGTGGCATTGAGCAGGAGGTGTGCAGACTTGGGAGTGGCCCGCTTGTGTGTATTATTAGCTCTGCATGTTGTGTCACCAAGGAGAGGACCACTGTAAAGTGGCAACAGGTTCTCAGTGTCAGCCTCAATTTTGTGCATTGAGTAGTCAGCCAAGTGCACTGAAATGGCTTGGAGGGTTCGGCCCTGGCAATGATTCTGCCAAGTTGAGGGCTCAGGCCCGAGTCCCTCTGGAAACCGAGCCACGTGATTCCTGCCTCTGGTGACGAGATCCTCACTGTCTGCTCTCCTTTAGCTCTGACTCTTGACGACGACGACTCTGGGGAGGGGCAGAGGGTGGGATGCAGGGAAGGTGAGAGGCCGGCGCCCATTTCATAAGGGGGTAGATTTCTAAATCAATTGACTGGAGGTGCTTAAAATCATGGCCATGTTAAAACCCATCTAGGGGACCACTGAATTTAATGACAAATGTGTAAAAACAAAACTAAACACTTTTTGTGCAGCAGTTGATGATCTGCTTTGGTTTCGTTGTGTTTTAATCTCATAATTGTGATTTTGCTGCCACCTCTGTGATGGTCCTTCGGTCGTGGTTCTTGGAGAGCAACAGGTGGGAGGGACACAGAAATGTGAAGAAACGTGGCTCTGGCCGAAGGGGTGACTCCTCATGGGGTGGATGGTGCGGGGGCCGTGGACACAGACCGGTGGCGTGGAGCAGAGGGAAGAGCTGGGCCTCGTGCCTGCCCTTCCTCTCCCGTCTTCCCTCTTTGTCTTCCGTCAGGTGAACGTGAAGAGGCCCATGAAGGATGAGAGTCACTTTGAGGTGGTGGAGTCCGGCCGCTACGTCATCCTGCTGCTGGGCAAAGCGCTGTCCGTGGTCTGGGACCACCACCTGGGTGTCTCTGTGGTCCTGAAGCAGACGTACCAGGTCAGTGGCCTTCCTTGCTTCCTCTTTGCTTTGTCTGGGACTTGCTGTTTGGACCTTTGTCAGCTCCCTGAGTAGTCACCTACTGCCCCTTCTTGTTGTCTCGGGGAAGGTGGTCACCTAGTCCCACCTCCCTCCCACGCAACTAAAGCTATGGCCTCAGGGTTTGGAGTCAGCCTGGCGTTTTACTAAGGGTGGCTGCATGTGGGAAGGATTGGGGGTGGCCCCCATGCAAGCAGGGTCTTGACTGGCCTTACTGGACATGCAGCTTATTTCCACAAGAGAACGAAGTAAAAGATGGGACAATATTAGCTCTTCCTTAACCCAAGGAGGCAAACTGATCATGCACAATGTTATTATAACACGGCAAAATGTTCTGGGGTGTTGCCTTACTACTGAGCTATAGGCCAGCACATTTCAATAACTATTTGTCAAAATGCTGATAACCCACTTTGGAGAAAGTGTCCAACAGTTTTTTGGGACTTTACTGATTTCTTTAAGTGGCATGTATGACAAGTGGCTTGTCTGTGATGGTGGCTGATTTAGCCTTGGCCGGAATGGCTTGCACAGCAGCTGCACTAACGTTGTCTGTTTTCTGCGTGTGCACGCCAGTGAGCAAGGGCAGCACCTCTCTTACTTCTCTGTGGCAGCCCATCCCATTTCTGGAAAGTATTTCATTTAATGAGCACCATTATTAAGTTCCTATAAGTGTTCAGCGCTGTTCTAGGCACTGTGGATGCAGCAGAGAAAAAAATCAAACATATGTATATATTTAACCCTTGTATTAGTTTTCTATTGCTGCTATAACAAATTATCAAAAATGTACTGGCTTAAACAATAACACATTTATTATCTTATGGTTCTGGAGGTCAGAAGTCTAAAATCTGTTGGCAGGGATGCATACCTCCTGGAGGCTCTGAGCGATCCCTTTCCTTGCCTTTTCTAGATTCTAGTGGCTGCCTGCATGAATGGCCCCATCCTCCATACTCAAAGTCAGCAGCGTGGCATCTCCCACTCTCTCTCTCTGTTTTTGCCTGTCACATTACCTTTCACACTCTTCACTCCTCCTGCCTTCCTCTTATCAGACCCTGTGATTATGCTAGGCCCACCTAGATAATCCAGGACAATCTCCCCATCTCAAGGTCATGATCTAATCACATCGGCAAAGTCCCTTTTGCCATGCAAGGTGACATATTCGTGGTTCTGGGATTCGAATGTGGACATCTTTGGGGTGGGGCACTATTCTGCCTTCCACGACCCTGGTGAAGATCATATTCTATAGGAGATATTCTCTTAGGTAGGTTGGTCTGATGAGACCTGGCTGAAGAGGTGACGCATGAGCAGTGTCTTCAGGGGAGGGAGGCAGTGAGCCACGCAAATATGTGGGGCAGAGAATTCAGGCAGATGGAGTAGCACGTGCAAAGGCCCAAGGGCGGCAGGTGTTTAGAGGGTTTGAACATGGGGGCCAGCGTGGCTTTAGAGGAGGGTCTTGGGGTGAATGGCAGTTAACAAGGGTGGGGAGGGGACCGCGGACATACCACAGGGGCTCTAGGCCATGCAGAGGTCTTTGGCCTCTGTCCAGCTGTGAGAACACCCTTCTCACGTGTTTCCCAGTACTTACACCCATTGAACCAAGCCAGACTCTGCGTATTGGAGCACAATAGAACAAAACATTTCTCTTTGTCCCAAGACAGACTCTAAATATATTGGAAAAGTATAGCACCTTTTCTTTTCCAGGCCAAATACCTCCCGTGAGAACACCCTTCTCACGTGTTTCCCAGTACTTACACCCATTGAACCAAGCCAGACTCTGTGTATTGGAGCATAAAAGAACAAAACATTTCTCTTTGTCCCAAGACAGACTCTAAATATATTGGAAAAGTATAGCACCTTTTCTTTTCCAGGCCAAATACCTCCCTTTTTTTTCCAAAGTTTTTACTTGACAGTTTTCATTCATTCAGTAGCTACTTATTTGGGACTTCTTGCTTGTTGCACGCTGTGATAGGTGATCATAAAGACGGATGAGATATGTCTTCCCTGTTGACATTTATTGTACAGCAGAGTTCTGGCCAGTCGGCTCTGAGCAGGCTGCAGTTCTCAGGTAGGGGACTCACCTGCCCACAGTAGAGCAGGGCTCTGGTGTCGCTCCTCGGACCTCTGCACTGTCACGGATCTAGGGTTCTGTGGGCTCCTCTCCCCGCTCAGGCCCTTGTTAGGAGGAGTTTGGTTCCACTAGGGAGCCCAGGGCTGAGGCTGACCATGAGACAGGGGCAAGTTGCCTCTCTTTGTTCCTTTAACTTTAAAATGGGTCAATGAGGAATGCCCAGGGAAAGGCTTTGGCAGGGAAGCTTTGCCGGGCACCCTGCTTCTGTTCCGAGCCCCCCACCCCCAGTTGCCTTCCTCTCCCTGAGACAGCCCAGCCTCCTTTGCTGCCCAGAACCTTCTCCCTCCCCTGGACCAGGGCGTGTGCCCCTGCGGCTTCCAATGCTCATCCCCTCAACTTGTCTATCAAGGAGCAGGTGTGTGGCCTATGTGGGAATTTTGACGGTGTCCAGAACAACGACTTCACCAGCAGCAACCTGCAAGTGGAGGAAGACCCCGTGGACTTTGGGAATTCCTGGAAAGTGAGCTCGCAGTGTGTGGACACCAGCAAAGTACGTCTAGGGGGTCTGTGGATGGGGCCCAAGAGGCCTGCACCCTGGAGTGTCCCCCTGCCCCCATTGTGGTGGGGGGTGGGAGGTGGGTGGAGGGAGGTGTGAACTGCAGGTGTGGCAGGGCTGGGGAGGAGGGTCTCTTGGATCTTTCTGGGTTGAATAGTGCAGACTGACTGACTGACACTTGGTCTACCTGCATACTCTTGCCCTGCTCCCAGGTGCTGCTGGACGTGTCCCCAGCCACCTGCCACAACAACATCATGAAGCAGAAGATGGTGGACTCCTCCTGCAGGATCCTTACCAGCAACATTTTCCAAGACTGCAACGAGCTGGTGAGGCCCTTGAGGGTCGTGGGAGATAGAGCAGTCCCGAGGGTGGCCCCGGTGGCTCAGACACTCAGCATGAGATGCTAATATGGACCCCACCCTGTAGTCCTGGAATGACCTGCCTCAAGACACCACATCAGTCCATTCTTGGCTTCAGGCTGGGACAAAAAGGAAAATCGACAGTTTCCGAGGAAAGCAGGGCCTGGCACGCGTCCCCTCCTGCGTGAGACGCGCTCCTCCTGGGGCCTGGCGCAGCGTCCCCTCCTGCGTGAGACGCGCTCCTCCTGGGGCCTGGCGCAGCGTC